TTCTTCAGTAGAACACAAACGAAGATTTTTAACTCAAACCGTTGCAGTCTGTCAGTCATTTTAGTGTCAGGGTTTAATTTGGTTTTGTTTGTGTATGTTTTATGACTCTCAACGCCGTGATTCCCATCCACTTGCATTATATGACTGATAGACTGCAACGGTTTGAGTTAAAAATCTTCGTCTGTGTTCTACTGAAGAAACAAAGTCACCTACATCTTGGATGCCCCGGGGGTAAGCAGATAAACATCACATTTTCATTTTTGGGTGAAACTACTTTTGGAACTAACTAGATGAAGTTGTGGCCTAAAGGTTAGAGAGTCTGACTCGTAACCCAAAGGTTGCGGGTTCGAGTCTTGTACCGGCAGGGATTGTAGGTGGGGGGAGTGAATGTACAGTGCTCTCTTCCACCTTTAATACCACGACTGAGGTGCCCTTGAGCAAGGCACCGAACCCCCAACTGCTCCCCGGGCACCGCAGCATAAATGGCTGCTCACTGCTCCGGGTGTGTGTTCACTGCTGTGTGTGTGTTCACTGCTGTGTGTGTGCACTTAGGATGGGTTAAATGCAGAGCACTAATTCCTAGTATGGGTAACCATACTTGGCCACATGTCACGTCACTTTCACTTTTTTTTTTTCACTATCCCTTTAACTTCTTTCTTAAGATTCCCATGATTCTGGACCCATAGTTTTACAAAGGAGGAGTAGTGAGTGTCACACCTGTGTTGATGCTGCCTGTAGCACCGGGCTGCTCTGTGTGTGTGTCCTCCTCGCTGTCAGACAGTGATCCACGTTCAAGGCTGTGAGAGTCTTGAGTTCGTCTGCTGAGTAGTGTGAGCGAGACGCCACACAGCACAATGCTCACGAATAACACCACAGACGTGCACGTCACCTACAACACACAACAATATTTCAGTACAAATACACTCATTATATGATTACTGACAGTAAACCCACGGTTTATCCATTCAGGTTGAATACAGGTCCATTTTCCCATAATTATTTCAGCTTTTAGGAGAACACTAGGTGACCTGAAGAACTAAACATCACAAAACCATTTTGCTCTCAAACATGCAAATGCATGATGTTATATAAGAGGACTATTTCAAAGTTCGTTGTAAGTAACACACCAACTTGATCTACATCAGGGGAACACTAGATTAAAACAAGTTTAAAAAAAAAAACATCTTACAGTTAAAAATAATGGAATATGATGGGCTGAATTACATAAAACTACACATGGTTCTAGTGTTGTTGTCATATTTAGGCCTAGTTCACACTGATAGCCCAGTTTTTGTTGCCTGAACACCTACAAAATGTAATGAAATCTGGGGTTTTTTTCTTGCATTTTCGCAACCAGTTCAAGTCATTTTCATATGTGGTTTGAAATCCAATAAACATTAGACTGTGTATTAGTCTGACTATAAAGGTGGAATGGACTTTCTTTTGTTCGTGAGGACAGATTGTGTATTCAGAGTCATGGACAGTAGTATCTCATGCATTGACTTCATGATCCGAGGCAAAACTTCTCTTTCCATTCTGCACATTTGAACTCAAGAAGAAAGTATCCTGTTATCATGCTACCTTTACACCATTACTAATCAACCAACTCTGACTACGTTATCTGAACAAACAGATCCGATGCAAAGTAACAGCGCACACAGTCTTAAAGAGGGCATGTGGAATTGTGCACAGCGTGAAAGGCTTTCTTTCATCAGTTTTGTACCTGCGTCTTTCCATAAAAGAATGCAGAGTCGATAGTGTTTGGCAATCTTTCCCCTGTCAGGAGGAGGACACTGACAGCCAGAACCGGGACACTGCAAGAGACAGAGAGAAACAACAGCAGATATCTGTGTTTTTGGCTTAGAAAGACTTATTTCAGTTGTCTAATAGAGCACAACAGTGACTGCCTGCTTTTTTAGCAGCCTTGGTTTCAGAAGTATCTTCAGAATTTCTTCAATTAAAGGTTATAAGAACCAAATCATTCAGATCCAAGGCGTATCACAATATTACAAAGATACTGTGAAATAAAATCAGAAGGACAATGGTAAAAGCCTGTGTAATTAAATCATTGATTAGAAAATATGTATATATATATTTTATGAGGCTGTTTTTAATTACAACACAACAACAACTTCTCTGACTGGATTGTGGGTAATGTAGGTTGACATTATGGTAAAACTATTTTTTATTTGTAATAACTAACTAATATATTGACAAACAATCTCAGACCTCATAGTCAGTTTATACTGCAGTATGCATGCAGCACATTATTGAGCATCAATCGATTCTGCCACGTTCATCACGTACAGTAATGCAGTTGGTCATTATGTAACTGTCCTGAATGTGCCACTCACCCCCAGCCAGTGATCACAGTGAGCCCTGGCCTGAAGTTCACCTCCTTACGTCTCCTCATGAGGAGCAGAGACAGAGCGATCAGACCTTCACAACACAATGAATAACATTATTCAAACACAACCCCCAAAAGCCTGTTACTTTGACAAAAAACAGGCTCTCAATCGATTTTCTTCCATAGTTCTGTCATAACAATTCTCAGGGAGTTTAGCACGGTAATATACACGACAATGTTATTGTGTCTGGTCTTGCCGGATTAGATCTGCTGCGGCACAGCAAGTACTGAGACTTGCTACTGCCAACACATCCACAGATATGCTGCTGTGAGCATGTATGAAATACTGCTGCTGCACATATATGAAATAACCCCATATATAACACACATAACATTACCCCATGATCCATAAGGTGGAGCTGGGGAAGGTGGAGGGTTTCTGAAGCGCGCTGCAACTGCTACAGCTAGCACTAGCTAAGTATTTGAATGTTAAGCAGCGAGCTCATTGGCTGCTAATGCGAAAGAAACCAATCCGCTGCGTCATGTAAATAATGATGTAATTAAATCCGATTGAGTTTGAATCAGCCTGCAGCATCTAGAGTTTCATGACATAACTTTGGATTAATCCACGTACTTACATAAGAAATGTTTAATTGCTTACTTACAGTTTATTTCTTGTCATCTAGATCTACCGTAGTTGCATCGCAAAACCCACACCTGATTAAACTAAACAAGCCGACTTTCCATTTTTCATGTCCACAGTTTTTTTTTTATGTTTCGTTTTTTTTTTTTACAGTTTTTAATGCTGTTGTGTGGACCAGGTAGTGTTTAATGGTGTTGAATCAGATGTTTTGGAACAGGTGATGTTCAGTGATTTTTCAAAGACAAACTCGAATGACTCACCAGGCCAAATATAGGTGCTGTAGAGAGAGCCGTACAGTAGAGTAAAGGTCAACACCTGACCCAGGAAGTTGTCCTGCTCTGCCATGAAGTTCCACGCGATCATCCCAACACAGGCTAATAACTACAAACACACGGCAGTATTAGTTTGTGCAGAATGTGCAGTGAAAAAAAATCATCAGGTTGCATTTTGACTGCACTTTCATGTTAATTGAAATGTTCAGAAACATATTTGTGATATTAATGGAAAAGTACAGTTGGACGAAAGCCCAACAACGCCTCCTAGAGGTATCTTTACGTATATAACTTTATTAATGCTTGTATAAGTCTGGACAAGTCAAGCATGTTTTTCTTGATGTTATGTCTTGTTGTTATTTTATGTTTGCATGAATTTTAGAATGATTTATTATTTATGGATAGCACTTTGGTCCATTTTAATGGTTTTGAAAGTGCTTTATAAATAAAAGTTGAATTGAGTTGAGTTGAACAAGTATCAGGGGCAGTCTATAGGCAGAAAGACTGACTTCTTTTTCTTTTGTTCAAGAGTACGGATTGCATGTTTGTTGTTCCTGTGAGTGAATGATTAAGAAGTTATCCGTTTACCTTCCAAGCTGTTCAAACTTAAATATTTTACATACTCTGTTATTGTCATATGTGAACTGTACTAGTTCAAAAAATAATTTAAGTAATATGTATATGTTCAGGTAAATTGCATGCAGACCTAGTTAGGCCAAATGTCGAAACTCCTTTAATAGCGCCTAGTTGCATATATTCCACAGTATTATTTAGATATGTAAGCTAACTTGTACCCTTGTCTTGCATCAATGAAATGATACACTTGAATGCAGCTGTTTAGATAACTTGAATTATTATTGCTACTGCTATGTATAATGTTCATACTCTTTATGTTAGTCATAATATTGTTTACATTAACAACTTTTACATTGTATTTTGCTTCCTCTGTTCATTGTAGACCACACACACGTGCACACACAGTGCCTGTACTACTTCATACATGCAGAAATAATCCAAATAAATCCTCTAATTGGGACCCGCTCTCTTGCTCCAGTTTCTCTAACCGGAAACTCCCACCACTATTTCTACTAGTGCCTAACCCAACCCTTTGAGCATCCCTTAAGCTCGTATAACAGTGTCTCTAAAACCAAGCAACTACTAGTTTTAAGCTCACCTGCGCCACAAAGAGGTTAATGGTGAAAATGTGAGGAATTCTGTGAAACTTTCTGCTCAGTAGCATGACTGCAACACTCCACACCTGCAGGGACAGGAAGAACAAACATGAACAGAGCATTTCAGAGAAGTGCAGGCCAGAGTTTGAATACTTTTAGCACAACGTGTTTCCATCCCCTCCGGTGCAGTGTGAACATACACCTACAGTAACCTCTCAAAACCACTTTAACTGGTTCATAGAGTGTGTGTGTGTGCGTGTATATGCTTGAATATTGTTATATACTGTATAAGCTTAAACCAAACTTCAGTTTCTTGCTTTTTTCTCAAGCTGAACGCAAAGAGGAAGGACGTGTCAACAGATGCATCTGACAACAGCATGACACAATCTGAGATTGGAAACATTGCAACCAACATCTACACTAGACATGCAAACACAGGACCTGTTTGAACCTGCAAAGTGTTTGAATTTCAATGATCATAACAACTTAAAATAAAAATGAGTGTTTACATGCATCTTACAATGATTATGCTTAATAGCCTGATAACATGCATGATCGTGCAAACACCAGCAGTTCTTTTCTGATCTGTGCACATTAACTGTTGCCCTTTAACCCAATTTCACTTTGCATGTAAACACTTTTACTGGCATTCTGGTGTGTTTATTCAACGTGTGCATGTTTGATGTCAAAAGCAAAGAAAAATCCATTGTCGATTTTTATAACGAGCTGATTTTATCAGCATTTTGTCATATAGCTGAATGAACTCTATTTCAGTTTTGATTTATCAGATTTTTCCCTAAATAATCTTCATATGGCTTTATCTTATCTGAAATGACAAATAAGAGCATTTAAGACAACGGAAAGGAAAAATCTTTAAAAAAAAATACCAAAAAATGTACTCTTTTGTATTCATTTTAGTGTCCTATGGTTTTGAAAAACATGTATGCCTTTTTCAACAAAAGTTCAAATTTAACGACTATGTTTGTCACGTGGTATAACCACGTAATAAAATGTTATTATTTTAATTTTTTTTTACCTTCAATACATGTGAGTGCACACATCTTATTTATTATTGTTATTTATTACCTATTTTACAAAAGCTTTTAAATAATTATATAAAAGTATACATTTTTCCAACATGTTTACAAATATCGATAATTATTATTTAAATTATTAAAATAATTGTGTCACATTACATTTTACTGCTTGAACTAACTTAAAATGGTAAAAAGATTATGACAAAATTCTTTTATTTTTAAGAATTTTTCTTTTTGATACTCATTACGATACCAGGACAGACTGTACCATCCTGTACCACTATCCAACAATTTTAAATTCATTTTAAGTCAGAAATGTTCTAATATATTACTAGAGTTTTAATCCATTTAATGTTTTAATAAATTAATGATGTATTTTGAATACATTTATAGACCCAGACAAAAATCCGGACACAGTATCATTAAATCTTTTTCTCAATTACCCAAAAAACATTACTTTACATCATTTCAGATTTCAAACAGCATGTCCATTAAAATCCATTTAATTCCTGGTTTCCATGGCATCTCCGGCAATACTGGTAATAACACGGATTTACCTTCATCCCATAATAATCACCTGCATGAGAGCAGAAGTAGCACAAACATGTGCTCTCACCACCAGCATGAGGGATGACAGCAAAATCAACACATTGTAACCATTCATGTCTTTAAGAGGAAGCAAAACCAGACAAAATTAGAAGACTGAAGGGAAGAGAAATGAAAACCCTCAACACTCACCAATGCAAAGAGGCTGATAATGCTGATGTTGAAGCTGACGTGCTGCAGCGCTGATGCTAGTGGATCCGAGTCCATCCACGGGATGGTCAACAGCCAGGCAGACACATACATGATGGGAGCAGACAGAAACGTGACGATCACCATCCCTGAGGTCACCTGAACGGGACAAATAAGAGGTGATCATCACAAAAATACCGTGGCGGTACTTTGATAAACTACATGAGTCAATCAAAATGTAACTAATTAAATAAGGTTAAAATTGAATTAAGTGTGCCATGGGAGTGGTGTCAGGAAAAAAAAAATTATGCAAATGTAGAATATAATTTCTAATACGGAGACACATACAACCTAACTGGGAAAATTCAGCTGGATGTGGATTGAATGACATCAAAAGTTTGAGGTCTATAAAATGTTTTAATGTTTTAGAAAGAAGTCTTTTACGTTTACCAATACAGTAATATTTTTTAAAAATTATCACAATTTAAAATAACTGTTTTATATATTAAAATAGTTTAAGATGTAATTTATTCCTGTGCTGCAAAGCTGAATTTTCAGCATTATTACCCCAGTCTTTAGTGTCACATGATGAAAAAGTGCAAAGTAAGTAGAAAAAAAGAAAAATGCACAAAGAACTTGTATGGAGATTTTTCCATCTGCAGATTTTTCCCTGACCTTCTTTTCTCTGTAAATTAAGGGTGCACACTATTGCTGAAAAACACAATCCCTTCAGATGTCCGTATGCACAAAGACACAGATCCCTAAACAAGGCCATATCTGCAGATGAAACTTTTTTTAAATTTGAACTAGCACCTCATGACTACACCATGTTATGTACGAGAAGCTACAAAAGACAAAGGCACAAGTGGAATGTTATAAATAAAGGTGCAAAACACATCTCCACAATGCACATACCACTTCCAGCTCCATGTTGTAATGTGACGCATATATGGCCACACTAGGTGCAGTGGGGAAGACTCCATACAGGAAAGCGTAGTTTGACAGACTGCTGTGGTTCATCGAGCTTCTGCTTCCACGGTCCAAAACCTCAACCATCCCTCTACAGATCAGAGGCATCACCAGCCTAAAGAGGCCACAGATGAACAGAGTGAGTTCTGCATTATGCAATGAAACCATAAGGAAACCAAGAACTACAGGAACTACAGGAACCACAGCACTGTCAACAACATTATGTTTAATCTTACTCATCAATACAAGTAAGAAGAGCAGAAAAAGAGTTTGGGAGTAAACTAAATATACAGGACAAACATGAGCAGATCAAACAGATCAGTTGTCACAGACAGTGTTACTGTCCTCTAACTAAGCATGTGCATTAAAAGTACATGGATTCACTCTGTTGACGCTCTGAGAAACATTCCCATTGGACCAACACTGTACTGTTGCCAAGTTACACTGGAAGCTGCTACCTGCATATTTACAGATTCAAATAATCAAATAATAGACTCCTAATAATGTGGGTGAAGATAAATGTAATTCTGATACGCGCTACTGATGTACAGTTCATCTAAAAGTGGGTCTACTCCTCAGACAAAGCTATCATATGATTTCAGAAGACTTGGAATTAGAGCTGTGCAATTAATCGAAATACAGTTTCGATTTTGATTTCGGCCTTCAACGATTATGAAAATACAATAATCAAGATAAAACATTATTGTGCCCCATTCCACCCCTTTCCAACAGTGCGCATTCGCTCCTCCATAAAAGCCCAATTTCACGTGCAAATCAGTAAAATCATGTAACGTGACTCGCAAAATGGGACGTGCTTGGTTTGTATTAAAGTTTATTAGATTTATTCATGTTTTTAAAAATAGAATTTGTATTGTGAACATACATGTAAATTGGATCCGTGCAGCTCTTAAAGTGACAGCGGGCTAATATTCCTGCTGCCGACTGTGTGCTTAATATTAATCAAACAACAAAATACAAAGACATAATCACTCACTGCTCCTGACTGAAGGACTTTTGTAGCTTTAATAAGAAACAAAGCAAGTTTAATTCCTAAAGTGAAGACTATGCTGTTTTATTTTACATTCGATTATTCAATTTCTGTTGGATGAATACTTTAGACTTGCATAAAAAAAAACAAAAAGCACAGTTTCTTTCATTTGTATCTTTTTATTCTATTGTATTTGTCGAAAATACAATAATCAAGATAAAACATTATTGTGCCCCATTCCACCCCTTTCCAACAGTGTGCATTCGCTCCTCCATAAAAGCCCAATTTCACGTGCAAATCAGTAAAATCATGTAACGTGACTCGCAAAATGGGACGTGCTTGGTTTGTATTAAAGTTTATTAGATTTATTCATGTTTTTAAAAATAGAATTTGTATTGTGAACATACATGTAAATTGGATCCGTGCAGCTCTTAAAGTGACAGCGGGCTAATATTCCTGCTGCCGACTGTGTGCTTAATATTAATCAAACAACAAAATACAAAGACATAATCACTCACTGCTCCTGACTGAAGGACTTTTGTAGCTTTAATAAGAAACAAAGCAAGTTTAATTCCTAAAGTGAAGACTATGCTGTTTTATTTTACATTCGATTATTCAATTTCTGTAGCACGAACACTTTAGACTTGCATAAAAAGCTTAAATCACGGTTTGTTTAATTTTTATCTTTTTTTTCTGTTGTATTTGTCCTTTCCCTTTTTTGTTTTTATTGTATTACTGACTGTGTAATTATTTTCAATAATTTTGAAGATTTTTTTTTTTAACTTAGATGAGTTACCTTACACTCTAAAAAATGCTGGGTTAAATACGATCCAGTGCTGGGTGAAATATAGACAAACCCAGCAATTGGGCTGTTTTGACCCAGCGGTTGGGAGTTATTTTTAGTGTACACATATGGCTAGGTCAGAAGAGTGAGATGATTTTTTTTTTCTTTTTTTCAAATGTTCTGATTACACAGAGGTTTAAAGCTCAATCCATAGTCAGGAACATTAAATTGAGAGTGCTGCTTGGCTTCCGATAGCTCTGGCATTGTGTTCAGTACAATTACTCTGTGACTTGACCCAGCTTACCTAGTAATCCCCTCCACCCTGCTCTAGAAATTAGTCCCTCATCCGAGCATTGGGAGAAAGGATGTGCTACATAGAGTTTTGATTTATTTGTGTTGATAGGTCAATCATAATGTTGCAGAAAGTGAAGAAAGTTAAGGCTGGGCTCTTGGGTCATGTGCACTCTAAAAAATGCTGGGTTAAATACAACGCAGTGCTGGGTAAAATAGGGACAAACCCAGCAATTGGCCTGTTTTGACCCAGCGGTTGGGTTAAATGTTTAACCCAACCTTCTGGATAGTAACCCAACCGCTGGGTCAAAACAAGCCAATTGCTGGGTTTGTCTATATTTCACCCAGCACTGGATCGTATTTAACCCAGCATTTTTTAGAGTGTATTATTCTGCTGTGGTGTTGAGAATTGAATTTTCACTGGTATATAAAATGTAGATGTCATAGTAACCCTATTTACAGAAAATATATATTTGATATATATCGCTATCTTTAAATAAATCACTCATATAAAGTTTTGGTCATGCGGTCCACTCATAACTGTGTTAAATAATTGTGATTACAATACTGACCAAAATAATCGTGATTATGATTTTTGCAATAATTGACCAGCCCCAGATCGCATAACAAGCCATATGGACTATTTTTATAGTGCTCTTTTGGTCCATTTAGAAGCTTAAAAGGATAGTTCACAGAAAAAAATGTAATATTTTGTCATCATTTACTCAAGTTATTCCAAACTTATATGAATTTTCTTCTTCTGTGGAAGTCAATATCTACCAGCAACTGTTTGGTTACCAGCATTCTTCAAAATATCTTCTTTTGTGCTCAACAGAAGAAAGAAATTCATAAGGCTCTGGAACAATACGAGGGTAAGCAAATGATTTTCATTTTTGAGTGAACTGTCCCTTTAACCGTTTGAATGGAAAAGAGCAGCATGGACATTCTGCTAAACTTCTTATTCTGTGTTCGACAGAATATTTCAACTTTCACTACTAACAATTTGCATGGTAGACTTACAGTTTTGCTGTGATGAGGAGAATAAGTGCCACCACAGTGGAGCGGGTAAGCTTTTTCAGCTGCCCCACCATGGTTAGACCCAGATAAAACAGCGCTGCTCCTCCAAATGAGTTTGCCAGACCATCTACAAACTCCTCCATGAAGGCCGGGATCTTCTGGCCCAGCAGGAAGTGAGAAATGACCCCAATCACCACCATAAAGACAATAGGGTTCTTGACCACCTGAAGGAGCACCAAACCCAGCACTTGCAGCTTACTCTGCTGCTGAGGTTCTCCAGTTCTCCGCCTCTGCACCTCACAGAACGCAAAGCCTAGTGGGTTCAGGACCATGAGTGAGACGGGAGCAACCAGGTAGATGTACTGAAGATACTCAGGATGAGTGTTGCGGTACAGAGCTTCAACTGTGGAGGAGGCAGAGACAATTAGTATCAGATAAACCAAAACTTAACATTTTGCCATTATTTACTCACACTAATTTGGTTCCAAACCCTTATGACTTTCTTTCTTCACAAAAGGAGATGTTTATCACAATGTCCAAGGTGTTCTTTTTTTATCAACCAAAACAGCATTGGTTTGTGTTTTAAGAGCCATGGCTGAATGTGCACAAATGCTCCACTTTTATTATACCAAAAAGAGCAGCTTGGACATTCTTCTATGAAGATTCTTGTGTGGAAGACAGAAGATAATGGCATATGGTGGAAACGAGAAGCAAAGTACACGTAAATTCATGTTTCAGTTCCATTTGGCTTTTTGTTTGCACAATTTATGGGTTAATGGTTAATGGAACACCATTTAGCTTACACTATCATCCAATACTATATATTTTTTTTTAAGTTTAAAGGCCCATGCACAGCAAGCATTATAACTATATCTATAAAATTGTATTAATCATTCTAATTCTATGAGAACAGTGAAGTTGACACCACTGATGGTACACAGAGGAACAATATAATTGGAATCACTATTAGAATTATTTTTTTTTCTGTGGATGAACGATAAAAACATTGACAGCCAATCAGAATCCACTTGACTTTAAAGAGCTTGAGCAAAGCAGCAACAGAACTGCAGCACTTGCTAATAAACAGACCGTTATTGTGTGTTGGTGTGGATGTTAATATACACTGTAAACATGATTGTTACGATTAGTAATCACAAATTTTTTAGCGTTTTTTTGTTGAGATAAATTAAAAATCAAAGGTTGATTAAACTTTACAGTTTAAGGCAGCACGAACGCTTTTAAGTGGAAACAGCACATCATTAGTTATTGTAATGTTTAATTTTAAGTTGCAGCAGTATATTGCCGTTATTGTTAAAGACATCATTCTTGGTCTGAAGCAGCCTTAAGGCTTATTCTCTGTATTTATAGCTTGAAAAAAAAAAACATACAGTATATCCACATATCAACATTTCTACATTAATTCACAGAGGCATCAATATCATGGACCATGGTTGAATCTAGTGCTGGGCAACGATTAATCACAATTAATCGCATGCAAAATAAAAGTTTTTGTGTACATAATATATATGTGTGTACTGTGTATATTTATCATGTATATATAAATACACACGCTGTCACGGAAACACACGCATGCATATTTTTCAGAAAAATACGTCATGTTTATATATTAAATATACTGTATTTATATATAATATAAATTATATGAATATAAATATATACATGTAAATATTTTCAAAATATATACTGTATGTGTGTTTATATGTACATAATAAATATACACAGTACACAATTATATAAACAAAAACTTTTATTTTGTATGTGATTAATCGCGATTAATCGTTGCCCAATCGTTGTTTCAATTTTGCAAATCAATGTTGATATCGCAATGTTGTTTCAACATCTTTTCAACATTTACATTTTCAACACTGATTTAGAAGTATTTTGTCAATCTTTTTACAACCATTTAGCACTTAATGTTGTTTCAGCGTTTTTTTTTTTTTTCAATATTGAAACAACAACTGACATTATTTAACCCCTTCTTAACGTTGAAGTTTGGGCACGTGCCGACTGAGGTGAGGTATTATGTGAATCATACTAGTACTATGTGCCAAGCCCTGGAAGTGCATTCAAGAAAAATGAACCTCAAACTAAACTAACAGGCTGTACAGCATATGGATTGTGTTACCTACAAACTCATAATGCTTGAAGATAACTTTGGGCAAATGAAAGCGAAAGAACATATCTGTAGACAGTCGGAAATATCACCGATTCAAGTTTTTCATGATTTGTGGGTTTAGTTCTATTTTTGGATTTGTTCTGTTAATATGGCTTCTCCTTTTTTTACTTACCTATAGGGAACCCCAGAGCAAAGTCATTACTCTGTGTGGCAAATATGGAGAAGAGGCCAGCTTTGGAGAAACGGCTCTCTCTGTCCGCCACCAAAAGTGTGAGGACACACACAAAGAAGAACACGGTCACTTTAGCCACCAAAATACTAAAGAAAAAAGGCCAGATTACATCGCCAAAGTCCAGCAGCACCATGTTTTTGAAAAGCAGAGCTGGAAGCGCAAACTTGGACACAAAGCTGCCCAGTCCTTTAGCATGTGTCGCTGGGATGATGTTTGTACGGCCCGCGACGTATCCGCAGAGAATGATCCCAAAACACTCGAGCAGGGCTGGAAGGAGCTTGTCAATTGACATGCTGGGTGGGACGGAGGGGGCGTCAGATCCATTCCTGCTGCTGAAGATGGAGCTATTAACCGAGAGATCACCCATCTTCAGGCCGACCACAGACCCCTCATAACCCGGCAGACAGGTAAACAACTGTGAAGTACCAAAACACTCTGAAAGCAAAGGAAAAAACGTCATTAGTTTATTCAAATGACAGTTTTGTGTTGCTTTTTATTAGAATACAAAATATAACAGTCATACACATGCATTTTGTAGCACAGTGACTATATGAATATGTGACCCTGGACCACAAAACCAGTAATAAGGGTCAATTTTTTTAATTGAGATTTATACATCATCTGAAAGCTGAATAAATAAGCTTTCCATTGATGTGTGTTTGTTAGGATAGGACAATATTTGGCCGAGATACAATATTTGAAAATCTGGAATCTGAGGGTGCAAAAAAATCTAAATATTGAGAAAATCATCTTTAAAGTTGTCCAAATGAAGTCCTCAGCAATGCATATTACTAATCAAAAATAAAGTTTTGATATATTTACGGTAGGACATTTACAAAATATCTTCATGGAACATGATCTTAA